ATTTCCTTTTTTTTTTTTTCTTTGTCGTGTTTATGAGGCAGCCAGGGTTACCCAGGTAGGTAGGATACCCTATCTGCATGCTAGGGTCACCCTGTCAGGGGGGATTAACTTTTTCCCTTGTAAACACTCCAGGTAGGGTTAACCTGCCTACCCGGGTTAACTTTCAACTTGTTTCCAGACCCTTTGAGTGTAACCACGCATTATGTTGTCCTGGGTTGTAGGGTTCCCTACCTGTGAAATTTTGCCTGTAAAACTGGGTTATCTTTTGTCCTCCAGCTAGGGTTAACCCGCTTGCTAGGGTAACCCTCCCTCCTTGTAAACTGGCCCTTAAAACAATTTCTGAAACTCCAAGTCTCCTCCATTGTCCGAGGCCCAGATGAGGGTAGCGGTGTTAGGGAGTGAGAATTTTTATTCTTACGCATAATTTAATCTGACATATTGATATGTATTATTGTTAAGGTACATCTTGAACTACCTCCGCAATGGTGAGCTTCTTTGCCCAGACGACAAGACAATCCGAAAAGAACTGCTTAAAGAGGCCATGTTTTTTCAAATCCAAGAAATAATAGATCAACTGGACGTTACCATATCTCCATTTGAAGGTTCCTTAATAATAAAGGAAGAAAGCCACCAGGCAGCTCTTATGTCATGGTTGCCATCTAATTCTACCTGTTCTCTGTTGTACCGAGGTTCCACTGATGGGAAAAGACCTGCAGACTTTCATCGTTGCTGTGATAACAAAGGTCCTACTCTTGTGCTGATAAAAAGTGGAGAATATATCTTTGGTGGTTACACCTCAAAATCATGGGAATCAGGTCTGCACCTAATTCATTGTAATACTCGAACTATAAACCCCACAAATATTTTTTTTCTTTTTCTTCATGTAATTACTTCAAGTTTTGATTGGCTCACTGTATTGTCTTGGTCCTTTGTGATTGGTTAGAGTGGTGATTACTTTGGTTTTGGTTTTATGACACTCAAAAAGCTGCTCTCATAAAACTTTTAGTTTGCTATTGGTGTATTTCAGGAAAACTCTTCATAAAATCTATTATAACACTGTTTCCCTGCGACTGATGTCATTGTAAAGATCCCTGTCCACCCGAGATGTTTTTGAAATGAATCTCCTTGATAAAGGTTACTTTAACAGGAGCAAAATACTATTAAACATGTGTCGCCTTTTAAATAGTTGTTTCAGAGTTTGTAAATCACGTTGCAAAACAGCGTGATGTGCACTTTTTTTATATTAAACCCCTTTGCCTAAAATGATTTACTTTGCAGATATACGGAAACCCAAGGGAGTAGCTGGTTTACAGGAAAAATAGACAATAGTTATATGACCACTCAAAATAATGCAGCATTCTTTTTGTGTTTTTTTTTCTTCTTCCTTCCCTTGAATTTAGCCTTGATGTGTGGGAAACCCATTGTACTTTTATTTGCTTTCTTTACTCAGCTGACAAATTTAAAGCAGACGACCACTCTTTCCTGTTCACACTGATAAGTCCTTCTGGAACTCAGCCAATCAGGTTATCTGCAGAACCAAGTGCTGATCGCGATAATGGTGGTATACTGTGTAGAACACATTCGGGGCCATGTTTCGGAAGTAAAAGTTACTTCAACCTTGAAGTATCTAATGCTGTTGAGGGTTACAATTATCTCCGAGCTACAAATACTGGATTCATCTGTCCTCCAAACGTTACACGCGCTTTTACCCCCGAAGAAAACTTCAATATCAGGGAATTGGAAATATTCAAGGTGAATTTTGAGTCTTAAGTTTAAATCCATTTTTGACTTATTTTTTTGGTGAAAAAATACCGGTACCTCTCAGCTAGTTGGAATGTCAGGACCAGTGGTCTTCAATGGTTGGTTGGGTGGACGATGTATGTCTCTCAGACCTCTTAGATCAATCAGATTAAAGCTACTATGAACAACCAGTCCATTATGGATTTATGCTATGAAGTACGAACAGAAATCTTGAAATCAGCGAAATCGTCACTTTGAGGTGGTCGTGGAACTAGCCAGCACTATCTTCGTTTTTTCGAAGCTAAGGTTCAGGTGAAGAGTAAGTAGGTACTTTTCTGTTGATAGCGATCAAAGTTTATTTTCACCACCTCATATAAATTATTTATGTATATTTTTTTATGTTTCTCCGATGTTCAACGTTGAGGTTTGAAGAATACGTTTACGACGAGTTGAAGCTATGCTTTATTGCGAACGGTCAAAATGTAAGCTTATTTGTTACCGCTTTGATTATAACTATTTTAGTTACTACAATGTCTAATCAGACTGACTTCTAATCTTAAAACCTGTGAGGTCTCAGAGTGAGCTAGAGTGGTACCGGCAGAGGTTTTGAACTTTTTTAAGTCTAGTGACAGCTAGTTTTCAACAAGACCACTGGGCCAGTTTTAAAACTTGCTTTTGTTGCAAGCAAATGTAACAGCTCATTTTATTTTTAGGTACAAATGGTAATTAATGAAACTTGTTTTTCAAGGATGAGCGGTTGTAATGAAAATTGACGAATCAGTGATTCTTGTTGTTACTTGTAGTTCCAGGAGCATTTTGATATATAATTTGCACCAATTAGTGTTCCAATAAAGAGAATTTCAAAACATTCATATTTGTCAGTTGTTCTAAAGGTTTCAAATTTTAGTATGGAAGCTGTGCAGACATTTCTGAAGACTTCATGACGACAAGATGAACCGCACATTAATTAAGTCAGACTTGGCGGGGGCCAATTGGAAACTTCAACATGGTTCCTGGCGCAACCTCTGGGGCATGGGACATTTTGAATTGACCATCTTGGCGTCCACATTAGCCTGCTCAAGGCTCTCAGTGGAAGGGGAGGGAGGTAAGCAAGCTAAGGCCAAAATTGGTGTTGAAATGCTCCACCTGAGATTCTTTTTACGCTATCTTACTCTCATCCTTCTGAACTGGATTGTATGTTCCCTTCAATTATTATGTTGAAAAGATAAAACTCGACATGCCTGACATTTATTTAATGGGAGTTGTACTGTTTAAAATTAAAGATCATTAAAGATAACGTTAAAATGCAACAAACTCCTCTATTTTAGGCAGTTGCAAAACATCACATACGGAACAGAAACAATGAAAGCCATTTCTTGTATGCAACCTCTTTTGGGAATGTCCAAGGTGGTCCTTCGACTGTGTATGAAACAATTCTTGTTGCAGAGTTCTAGAAAGTTTGTTGGATGCGACAAACTTGCACTGTCAAAGTGGACACAATGTCGTTCGTGGAAATTAGACATAGCTAGTGGTGACTGTACGTACGTAGGTCCGTACGTCCGTATGGCAAGCCCAATACTTCAAAAAATAAGATAGAACCACTATTACCATAGCTAAACCGTGGATATTGGACATCCATGTTATAATTATTTGACAGGTGTCAAAACAACGTAGTCGCTGACCAGTATCACGTGACCATATCGCAGGCTTAGGCTTAGAGCTTCCTGGTACTGGTTTTTGATTGGATCGCAGGCTCATGTCAGGTTATTTCTCTGGGGTAGAAGGAAGTAGTACGTGCAAAGGCAATATTTCGGCACAAATTAACCCCTAGTGTGTTGTTCACCTTTCCTCTGACGTATTCCTTGCACAATCGTCTCTTGGAAAATCCAAGATACATTACGTACCTAATTTCTGCAATCTTGGTTACGCTTATTGGGTATAGTTTGTTAAAATTTCACTGGAAAAATATCGAAACCACACGAACAATTAAAAGCTCACAATTGATGACGTTGATCAATTTTGAGTTTCTGAGTTAAGAAAAACGAATCTGTATATTATGCATCCAGCGAAAATTCTCTGATACCCCCGGCCCCCCTAATTCAATGTAGTGTGGATGCTGTGATCTGCATAGTCTTAACAAACCTCCACTAACGGCCACAACTTTATAGCAGCCGCTTTTTCAGTTTCGTTCCAGCCGACAGTCCATACATATATTTACTGCTATTTTAACCTTTCTACAGCGGCAACGCCCACCCAAGCACGTCACAAACTACCAAAATGACCTCTCCACAACGACCAGTTAATCAATCGACTGACAAACAGTTTACTACAAAACACTATGTTATATGGTAAAAGGTCACAAAACTTGATCCGTACCGCACGTCGTTGGTGTCTGTTTCTGGTTGGTTTTTGTTTTATTGATATATTTTGATTGTGTTGGGTACTGCTATTCTACAATCAGCATATTTTTAGGATAAAAATGTAAAAAAGAAAACATATTACACCCCTACCTCTATATAGCGGCCAGCTCTCGAGAACTGCCACTTTTCCCTGTCCTCAA